CGACTAAGATAAAGAGCACAAATACATTCCTCCTGGAAAACTACCGTAACATTTATGAGTTTATAKTCTATTAATGATTGCATCACCTTAGGCTGAAATTTTATCAAACTTCAGTCAGTTACATATCAGTTGTGGGAGAAGATCAAGAATCGTGACCAACTCAGAATTAAAAGCCAAGTCAGTCTCCTCTAAGCAATCCTGTTTTGTCCACATATTGCTCACTTGTATACCTTCCTTACCAATTCCCAGATATATTTTTCAATTCCCAGACTTACCTCTTACCAGAATAAATAGGTAGGTAGCAAACTGAACAACCATCAGAACCATGCAGAGGAAACCAACTTTCCAACCCTCACGTATCAGAAATTCAAAATCATTTGAAACAAAACTTATGTATTGTTTTATAAACAAGGTTATAAAAATAAGTAACAAATTTCTTTGTAGAATCCTTGAAAGCTAAAAAATATTCTTGAACATTATGCCCCATTTTCCCAGCTGGCCAGTTTTGTAGTGCAGTAGGGATTTTGGAGTTCCATTTCTGCATAAATCAACCTTTTAATTGCAGCTCTGCAGCTGATCTCCAAGAAAATGAGGAGAGATTTAAAAATCAGTACCCTTACTGCCTTACTTCAAAATAATACCCTGCAAATAGTCATCTTTTAAAGACTGGAAATTATGTCTATATAACAGGAGCACGCTATTTAATCTCTACTTTTTAATCTCCACTTTTTAATCTGATTAAACAAATTTAAAAGCTGATTCTTCCTACTGCGTTTAATACTAGCACTTCTCCTAACTACTTATTTCACAGCAGGAACTGTCTCTGAGAGCACATTCACATTATTACTCCAGGCTGATCTTGGACCAGACTTGCTATAYATGCTATTTACTCAGGGACAGTGCTTCAAGTACTAAAAATGTCAAGCAAACAGAAAAAAAAGTTATTCTAAATATTATAGATTTATTATGAACATAAACCATTGTATTAGAAACTGCCTRGCAAGGTGTCTCCACAAAAAGTCCACCTTTCAGATTTACTGATGGTTGGTTCTGTTCCATATTAGAGGCTGTAAGATTTTATTTTCCTAGGTTTAGGGGTTTTATTATCAGACATTTTTCAGAAAAAGCAAGAAATTGTTACTAGACTTGGTAACAACAGAAAAAAAGTTAGTTCAGAGGTCCTTTCCTGTCCAGGTTGGGGTACCACTTACCTGTGCTGGTTTTCAATTGTTTTTAGGCCTCTTAAATACCAGGCAGAATGGGAATCTATTTTCCAATGTGTCCTGACAAGGTTTTTTATTTTATAGTGAACCTCTGCAAGCAGATAGCAAGCCACAAAGCTGTTATGGACCCCTCATTGCAGCCATAACACAATTTACATCCAGATCATTTTCTGCCAGCAGAGCCAACTGAGACTATTAATCAAATGAGAAAGAAAACAAGCATTTGTAGAGCTTTAAACAGATACTGTTCATCTGTTATTTAAAGCATGACAGTATCAGGGTACTGCTCAATGTTTGAAGACCRGTTGTACAATATTTAGAATGAACTGTTCTTTGAAAAAAACACAACAATATGAACGGCAGAAGTTAAATAATTGATGATAGGTCTGGGACAGCATTAAAGGAAACTCTCTCAAAGCAAAATATACCACCATTTCTAGCCCTCCAGAGCACTGAGAAAACCTGGGTGCCTGCACAGGTGTTTGCTGAAGAACAACAATAGATGACATCAACCAAATTATGTATTCAGCAAATAACTCGGTTGGCATTTGGGGGGGGCTTTGTGTAGGCTTTTGCAGCATAGGAGGCAGATGGTGGTTGCACTGATTTCTGTAAAACTGTACTGAATGTTACATTAACTGGTAATTAGAAAACTCAATTTGACTTCMATTCTATTTTCAAACAGAATATTTTATGGCATAAAAGAGTTTATATCTTGAAAAGTTCATAAAGAAACAKCTCCAGGCCACAGACATTATTCTTGGTCGGTTCACATTATTAGAATAAAGAGCTGAGGAAAAAGATGAACTATTTTATGTATTCTCTCCCTGAACATTTGCTGCTACTTGTGTATTTCACAAACTGATTTCTGACTCAGATGTACCAAGCACAAATCACAGAAAGCAAGCCTATACCCTAAATCTTTGCATTCTTCTGTCAATATTATTTTTCAATTTTTTCACTGGGAAGAAGTTATTTGCCAGGCTTGTTCTTACTTAACCTAAGTAAATATAGCAAAGTATTCAATAAAAATACAATAGATCATAAAGGAGATGGCCAGAGTGGATTTTATTTACCAACTACTACCTTCCCAACAAAGCATGCCTTCCTTTCAGTGCCAAATTTAATCCCAGCTCCCTCCAAGTTGCTTATGAAACAAAGCAATATGCTGCTGCTCTTTGAATACTAAACCTTTTTTAATATGGAGTCCTCACTGAARCCCAAGTCCTGCATCATACAGCACACACAGCCTACTCTGTCCCAGAGCAGCTTTGCTGAATTTAGAAAAACTGTTTCCAAGCAAAGCATTTCAGGATCAAGAACTTGAGATGGGAAAATCCCAGGGGTAGGAAATACAATTGTAACATTTTACAATTCTCTTAAAAAAAAAAAAAAAAAAAAAAAAAAAACCAAACAAACCATAAAACATCCAAACTCAAGAATTTGTCATGCTAAAAAATGCATTTTACATTTACTATAATTGTTTATCTAACTACGGTCACAAAAAGAACAGACACAACAGAATAAATAGTTCACTACTCCAAAAAGAAGTGTTAACAGATAATCATAGTTGATCTGCTAAACACAAACAGACCAATGAAAAGCAAACTCCTAGTGAAAGTTGGAAATTTGCCATCAACCACAACCTTCAGCCAACTGCTGGCACACAACCTCGCCTCAAGCAGTTCTGGGTGGGGAAGTCTGGACCTCGTGTCCCAGTGCTGCTGTCCTCACAAGTCACATGCAGAATAGATCCTCAGTTAAACTGTCACACTATTAAGACAAAGTGATAGAGAGTAACAAAAGACATCAGTAGCTCTGTAGCTCTGGAAAAGATGAAACCAGTCTTGATTGCTTGATCACTTTCAGATGAATGGTTTAAAGGATACAATTATTTAATGAGCCTACAACCTAAAGCTTGTAAAGTGAAAAAGTAAAGGAAACAATAGTCAGTGAGAACACAAACACATTTTAAGAAAAATAGCTAAGAAATCAGGTTTTAATTCTCAGCCTCTGCATGCAAATTGTTCATTTCCCTGCCCATGGCTATTGCTAGTTAATGTATCCTTTCCCCCTCTCATGTTGATGCACAATCAAATAGAAATAGACATGGCTTTCATGCAATTCCAATTTCTAAGAATACTGATTAGGAAGAATATTGACTTTTTTCCATGCCTAGTTACAGGATTTATTTCCAACTTCAAGTSCTAATGGGTTTTCTCATTGTTTTGTTCATTATTCCTACGCAAAGAACAAAAATGTTCTCATGGTCTTCAAACAGGAATCCATTTTTCAAACCTAACTTAAGCAACCCCTGGAACTGCTGCAAGATTTAAAGAGAGGTCACACCTCGGGCATGACCGTTTCTTTTTCAAACACAAATCAGTTGCCTCGATAGCTTGTATTTCATTTCTCTCACTAAAATACATAGTGGGAATTAGCCTTCTACTGATGAGCAGCTTTTTTGTCCCTCCCAGGATATTTTTTGCTTAAAGGGGAAGAATTAAACATCAAACATCCCCAGCAGAGTAAATTATGATGTGTGACCCAACAATCCTATCCCTTTTGTGGGAATCAGGTGAAGCTTTAGGCCATATACAAACGTAACCTAACTACTAGATTGAACCTTATTCATCAATTTCCCTGACCTCTAGTCAAACTAGCCTTTCATAAAGGACCATTAAATTGTGGTAAAATTATATGTGGTATAAAATATAGCAAAGTWCTACCACATACAGAAATTACCACTGTCAAGGAAATAACTGGAAGCTATCATCATCATTGAAAGCACAAAAAAATGACTGAGAGCACAGATTTTTTATCTAAGACATTAAGGAACCTAGAGAGATGCCTGCTACTATAGCAAGCATTTGCTTTTACATGACAATTCAGGGAAATATAAATATTTTTGAATGAACATGAGCCACGTTCCTGCTGCAGCCAGCATATCCAAAAAGAAGAAGAAAAAAAAAAAAAAAGGAAGTTTGAATACTAGTTATATGGAGTAGGCAATGCTTCCTTGGTATTTGTATCTTCATGTCTTAATAAACTATTTTGCAAGACCCTAATTTGYGAAGATTTCCTACTTTATATTTTTGCATAATAGGTTGGCCGAACAATGTGCCGTCAACATGTTAGTGTTTTCCAACACAAACTCCACATCTACACAACAGTCAAATAACCATTTTCCTATTTGAAAAAGCAGGAAAATTTTGACAATTCCACTTTCAAAGTGCAAAAACATTCCAGCACTGAGCTGCACTCTGTYGAAAGCTAAAGTGTGACAGATGCCTTCACAGTTCTTGCCAATCAGATGCTACATAACAGCTGAAAATACAATACATCACTTTGATCTCCTGGTCCCTCAAAGCATTCACAATCAAGGAATCTGCATGAAGAACATAAAATATGCAACATTTCCAAAAACTGTCTCCAYGGAACTTAAATATGATAATGTATATTTTGTTCATATTTCATAAAGCACTTCCAATCCTTTATTATGCATATGAAAGGATATGTTTTAGCTTGCAAGAAATAAACATGAAAGATGCTTTATATTTTAGAGACGTGTAAGTTTTCATCGGATAACATAGGTGAAATAATCGTTTAGAAAAGCTTGAATTGCTTTGAGGGGAAGACATTATTACAGAACACGCTTAATTAAGTCCCACTGCTAATTTTGTAAAATGAATACCTTGTTGAATTAGACTGCAGGGAAATGAACCATGCACACCAGCAACATGTGGAAAGGAAAATGCTGAGAAAGGCTTGACTTACATTTTGCAGGTAGGTCGTATCCACAGGTAATTTTGGCCTGTCCAGTCTCACAGCCACTCAGGTTGCGACACTCAGCAACCAAGCAGGGCCCGGCAGCTCTGTGTATGCAGCCATCCACTACAAAACAAACCCAGAAACTTGGATTTATTAAAAGCCATTTTTTATGTTCTCTTCACTCAAATATATGGCTGTAAACATTTACTGCCCATGCTTACACCCACAGCCCAGACCAGCTCATCTGCAAGTTGATATCTATAAATACAATTCTTTYTTCTGACAGAATTAGTTCATGTGTTTTGCAAAAACATGATATTTAGTCAAATTCTGCAAATTCAAAAGCAAACATCTAGAAAAGGTACAGTAGAATAGAAGTTTCAGTATTAGAAAAGGATCTTATTAAAGGCTCWAAGAAATTATCACTACAAATTATAAAAAGAACATTGATCCCCATCTAAATGCCAAACTGTATTTAATGACATATCTCTGATACTTCTACAATTGTGCAGGTCATTTAATGTCGCCGTCCTACTATTGCTGTATATAAAAGTTACAAGAAATAATGCATATTGATTTGAAATATAAAAATACCYACTTTTGACCTTTTTGAATTTTTCCATTTTTTTTAATTTTGTGCTATTTATGCAATATTTTGGAGTTAATTAAAAARTAATTACTAAAGGTTGCAATTGCAGCTAAGTATGCAAGAAAATTAGTAGAATGCATAGATCTTATTACCCTCAGGARCCAGCAAAAGAATAAAACAAGGCTGCTGGCACAGCAATTCTGCCCTCTCAACACACAATCCAAGAAATAATTTACAGTAATTATAGCAAAAAGGTTGAGAAAAAGGATAGAAAATAATAAAGGAAGTAGTGTGTGCATGAACATATTAACTACAGTAAAGCCCTAATTCAGCAGCAGCTGTGGAATTCAACTAGAAGAAAAAAATCTTCACAAAAACTGCATCAACTCAAAAGGTAAAACAAGTATAAAGGCTAAACAAATACTTATGGARAGAAGAAAGGAAGAGTCTGTATGAACATCATTTAAGATTTATTTCAGATTTTATTTCAGATTTAACCAGTTCAAAGTTATAGCTGTGCCCTGCAGCATGTTCAAAGCAATTAAACCAGAACAGGTTTGAAAAGCCATGGGGGGATGGGTTTTCAAGAGATGCACATCACCTGCTCCCAGCAGGAACTGTTCAGCTTTCCACAGGCTCCAATTTGGGTAACCCATGGCACTCAGTGCTCCCAGCGACCACTCACTGCCCACCACAATGTGGGGACTGCAAAACACCCTCAACGATGGTCCTTGAAGCCAGAACACACCCTACTATTAATGGGTCAATAATATTAGGGCTATAATTGGTTCAATAATGTGTTGAGTTACTCCTGAAGTCACGCATTCCCAGGTGGGGAGGCAGAACATCTTCAAATGGACAAAACTGTTCTCTACATAGTGTTAAAAACCTGATTTTCCTTTCTGAGGAGTTCTATACCAGAGTTCATATTCAGGTGACACAGTAAAACTGGATGAGCAGTTCTTTGCAATACTCCATACCCACCCTTGTCACTGATTTTCCAAATTTTTTTTGGACACGTTGTCACTGATTTTCCAACATTTTTTTTGTAGTACTTTATACTATATAAAAAGATAACTACAGAATCACGTGATACTGCACTTTCAGTGAAGTTTTCAAAATTTTATATTGAAAGGATCATGGATGCCAACCCTTCAGTTGTAAGCACACTGCACATTCTCTGTCCCAAGACACCAAGGCTTCTTACTCGACCTCAGCTGAACTTTTGTATTTTGCTTACCCAAAATCTCCGTTCAACAGACTCCAAGATGCTAATGCAAGAGTAATATTTTGTAACCTCGAGGGGAAGAAAGAACGTTTGAAATCTACCCTGTGCTCATAATATCCAAGTTCATTGTTTTAACCTAATTACTCAATGCTTTTCCAGACCAAGCAGGATAAGTAAGCCAGTATGCGTTGAAACCTCAAGTACATTTTTATAGCAGCAACACCACAACATCCCTGRATTCCATACAGGTCTGTGTCCAGCCTTTATAAGCAAAGAAGTCTCCAGAAAGATGAAAGAATAATTGAAAAAAAAAATTGAATCCTTAACAGAGGAAAATCAATTCTATCAYAACCAATCCTGACATATGACAAGGAAAATGGAAGACATCTGCCAAAAGCAAACAAGTAGACATGCGTACCTCCCATATAAAGGTGGCACAAGAGAAAATGATTGAATCCTCCAGACAGGCTTAGATGGAAAAGTAGAAATTAGCATCTTATGTACATCAGTGACAGATGACACAGAAGAATTAAGTTAGGGGAGAACACCAGCAACAAAAACGCAAAACCCAAACACCAAACCACCCAAAATAACCTCTTTTTCCTGCCATACTTTATTAAATACATGAACAGAGGTGACCTCTGGTCTATGAATGCATTTTTAATTTCAGAACTCAGTAAATCATRTTAGAAATACACTTTATTTCCAATAATATATACACTTCAGCAAACCCCAAGCACTAAAATATATTTCTAAACSTGAGTGCTCTCAAAACCACAAAACAATTGCAAAGTTAGAGCAGATTAACAAATATAAATATTATTCTTCAGCTTCTGCTAAAACATGTCTTACCTACATTAATTAAGAAAAAAAAAAAGCATAGAATGGACATAAAAAATATTTACATGGGATATTTTGTTTTCTGGAAGTGTGCACCAACTAGTAATGTCAGTGTACAGAGAGGTAAGCACTATTAAGAGGTAGACTCAGTGGAAATTACAATGACAACAACCACAGGAGGGAGAAATGATGGTCAAAGACATTTTGTTATTCTGTAGTAAGGAGGAAGAGATTTACATGGCATACTGCCAAATTAATAGGAAAGCGAAGAACCTTTGATATAYTGTATTCAGGTATTTCATCTGTATTTTCAGTTTGCTATATAGAAGTTCATCTGCATTATTCTAAACAGAACTGGAAAACAAACCATATCCCAGTGTTCATTGTGCAACTGGCTGAAAAAAACAGTCAAATCTGATTTGGTGTCACATGACACTGATAAGGAATTCTGCTGTATCATTGCTTTCTACAACCAATAAAAAATGTGATTTCACTTGGAAGCCCTCACTCTGCCTCACAGCGCGCCTTTTTCTCTTTTCTACAGGCTGCCTTCCTGTCCAGGTTTATGGAAATCTCACAGATGCCTTGGGTCATTTTCACACACAAGTGACCTGCCATTTCACAGGGAAAGATGTGGGAAAATCCCAGACAAAACTGTCAATCATAACTGAAAGAATTTCCACCCCTGKTCTGCATGATGATCAACTGACAACACTTGGAAGTAGTGAAGACAGGGCTTCTATCCCTATTGATACTGTGCTTCTTGAAATGAGTTTCAGGATTAAAAACCAAAGCTATTTCAAAGGATTTTTGATAGCACTGAGTCCTGCCTGGGCCACCAGTGAGGCAGCAAACACCCACAGAATGTTCCCTCTTCTCTTCTGCCCCCATCCCAAAAAATTGGCTACCCCACAATCCACCTGAGGTCCCATAAATGCTCTGAAATATCGCACAACACTTCACTTTTCATGATTGCAAAGACTTAATGCAGGTCAGCCAATCTTTTGAAAAGTGATCCTGTTACCCAGTGCTGTCACGTGTGGAGAGCCCAGAAAAACTGGGTTTCCGTATTTATTGTTTCACCATGCTTGGGTGGACAAACACATGGAAGGGGCTTCTCAGTTTTGAAGAACTACAAACATGAACTGTATCTCAAAGGCTGAAAAGCGGTTTCAAGAAGCTTCAGATTTATCTCTCTAGTTCAATGCTTGAATAAAGTTATTATAAGTAGTACTCACATTTTTTTTCATTAAAATAATACTAGCAATTTCATTGCATGCTTCCATAAGTTTCAGGAGCCACTAGGGATAGCATTTTGTTCTCCCAACAGTTCAGCAGAAGCCATTAATGAAGAAAAACTATTTTCAAAGCTACTGCAGTCAATGACACTGGTTACACAGAGAAGTAATCTGAAAATAACTGCTTAAAATACACAAACAAAATCAGGTATTAAAATAAAAATCCTATGCAAAAGGACAGCATATTAATAAAAAGGTGTTAAACAAAAATATGTAATCTATGACAGCATCTTTATCCCTGCACACTGAAGGGTGCGAACAAGTTAAATAATTTCTTAGTTCATTTTTTGTAAAACAATTGCATTTGTTCTCCAGAATAAAAGGGTTAAAGTTATATAGTAAAAAAAAATAAAAAAAAAACCAGCTAGTTTACTGGTGTGCAATATAGAATGAAACCATTTCTTATGGAAAATCTCTTAAAATTGCAAATGAAGCAAAWGCATGGGAAACACAGAATTAAGGGTATCATGGGATGCTGCTAAAAAAAATAACCTCAGCAAAACTAGCCTTGCAGTGCAGATGGTAATAAAACAGGGTAAGGTAATCAAACACCACAGCAAAAAAATACWAACTCCTCCAGGAATAATAAGGCCCAAATTTCTTTTGTGACCTTGTGYGCAAGTCTGAATAAAGTGAAGCTACGATGTAAACAACATATGCAGATTTATTGTGTTACATTTCAAGAATCTATACAGTCTTTTTTTCCATAGTAACTCCTGTTCTCTGGYGCTGTTGCAGATTTCCATTTCTCCATTTCAGTAGGAAACTCATGAGGTTTGCTTATTTAAGAAATTCACCTGTGCTTGATATCTCTCTGAAGTGACACTGTTCTTCCACATGGCAAATGCCACGAGTGAGTAAAACCACAATAATGGCATTGCATCCAATGCACTGCTGGGGACACAGAGGAGGAAACTGCTTTGTGTAAAACYGCAGCACATCTCTGCTACACACATCTCAGTCCTTGTGGGTCTTACAAAAATTCCCATTGCAAGGATGTCTGGGGTAAGCAGAAGGGAAAAACCACACAAATAAACAAACAAACACAAAAAAATAATCCAAGCAAAAGGACAAAAACCACCACTTTCCAAATAACCACCACTGAACCCCCAAACAACAATCAAAGAAGCAACAATGAAACCCAGGCTCATTCTGCTAAACTGGTAAA